TTCAACCATTGCAGACACTTGGAGAATGAACCCATGAATGGAAGCTCTTCCTCTCTGTCTCTCCTCTGTGTAAATCTGCCTGTCCAATAAAAATAAGTAAAGCTTTAAAAAAAATTCATAGTGGGAACCAGGAGGCTTGATACACTCGCAGGAGAGCGAGTGAGTTGCCTCTAGGCACCAGTTTTATTAGATTTCTTTCAATAGATTATTACAGAGATCTGAGGCTCTTGCAAAATAAACAACCAACCAAACAACCAAACAAAAAACACAAAAAGCAAAAATAAAAAAAATTAAAGGTATATAAAGATCACAGAGACTCAGTAGCGTAACTAACAGTCTTATTGTTTACCCTGATTGTGCTGGGCAGTTGTGGTGCAGGTGGTCAGCCCTCTCCTTCTCCTCTGATTGGCACTTAGCCAGCTACACAGTACAGGTCTGCCATACATTTACCACCACCTTCATGAGGCAGTTGACCACTCAGAGCTTGGGAGGTCCCATGCATCCAGTAAGGTTGCCAAGGGCAGCCCCGTGAGGAGTGTCCGACCTTGAGAAGTCAGGAAGAAGCCTTACACCTGCTCCCTGCTTGCTGAGACCTACATAATTCCTAGATTTAAACATGCTAAACTACAAAGAATTCCCAACAACTCCCCATATGCCACAGAGCCAGGAACTAAAGCCAGAATCTGCATGTGTGGCAGGACCCAGCTGCTTGAGCCATCAGCCTCTGGCTCCTGGATGCACATTAGCTGGAAAGAGAATGGAGAACAGAGACGGACTCAAGCCAGGCACTCTGAGGTGCGAGGCAGGCTTTTTAGCCAGCTGTTGATGTACCTGCAGCCCCGTATACCCTTTCTGGGTTTGTGTTCTTAACCCCAGCACTGTTCACTGGGGAGGGGCTGCTGGGGCCGTGGGTTAGGGCTAATGGAGCAGATCTCATTCTGCCAGGGTTGCTCTAGACCAAGGCCTTCTGTGGAGAGAAGGCCAGTCCAAGGCTGTAGTCCCTTCCTTCCAGCTGTAAGAGCTGGAGATGTTAATGGCAACTGGCGGCTCTGAGACGGGCTTCTCTTCTGGGATCATCTGTGTGGTTTTTGTCTGAATGGTCTTCCTTGGTAGTCACTTTGCCAGCAGTGGGGCTGGGGAGTCAGAGGCATTGGGGCTCTTAGGACAGAGCTGCTGGGCCACAGGCAGGGTGCGGTGGGGACAAGTGAGATCAGGCACACAGCATACTTCCAGTCTGTGCCACCGCTCGCTGCTTCTCCTCCCCACTCAGGTGCCCCCTGACCACCCTGTGCTGGAACACTAGCAGTTCAGCTTTGCTTTGCTTTCTGTGTAAGAGCCAACATGCCAAAGATAAAGACTTCATAATCTTTGCTTTTTTGTTTTTTAGAGACTGAGAGCATATGAAAACCGTTTAGCTTTGTATTTTAGCTTCACAGTATTCTTTAGGGATTTTAGTTTTTTGTTTGCCTTCTGTTCAGCAGGCAGATGAGAAAGCCAGATTAGTTTGGCCCCAGCTGCAGGTCCCTCTGTGTAGGAGACACTGTGTGGGTCAAAGCATGAGGAGTGTGGGGACTTGGCACCTGTGGTATAGAGCAAAACGTGGCCTGGCTGTGGGGCCAGATCCTGGGAATGCCCCACAGTAGGCTGACGCTCCGCGGTGACTGTCCCGCGACTCTCTGCCCAAGAATGCTCTCGTGGAAGTGGCACCCTCTGTGGAGGGGGCACTGGCAGGGCCTGGAGAGGCTTCCCAGGAAGACTGATGAAACTCAGAGGTGTGAGGGACAGAGGGACAGGAGAGAGCATGAAAAGCCAGGGTACCTCGTCCGTTTCTCTTTGAGAGAGCGGCTGATGTCACCGATGTGCTGATCCATTCCTCTATATGGCCAACACACACACACACACACACACACACACACACACACACACACACGCTAAAGAGCAGGCCCTGAGCCCTTGACCATCAGACTCTGGGAAGTGGAGCTGATGGATGACCCCGTAGAGTCAGGGTGTGGTGGCAGGTGTAGGCTAGAGCACGTGGAGATGGCAGGAGGTCTGAGAAGAGAGCCCGGAAATTGTTTGCCCAGGGGTGTCTGGGGAGGCCCTGGGAAGGTTGCAAGTGGGAACTGCTTTTGGTGGGGAGGTGGGCAAGAGTGTGAACATTTGGGCAGAGGGCAGGGTAGGTTTCCTGTTCCTTCCCTCTCCCCATCTCAATGGAAATACTGCAGCACATCTGTAGACTTGAAGGAAGTGGGACTGATACCTTCTCCTGCTGTTGGTGCACTTGACCTTCAGATGCCCCTGGGAGATAACAGTGATGCAGGATTCACGGGTGGGCCGGTGGAGGAGTCAGGCTGGGTTCGCAAGACACCAGGGTACATCAGCTGCATCTGCACAGCCTGCCATGTGGAGAAAGTGCTCAAGCAGCGGGGAGCAAGGCTTTCTGCAGCTTCCCAGGATTCAGGTTGGGTGCTGTCATTTTGTTCTCACCTTACAAGGTGGCTGTTGTCATCTCTGTTTTCCTGACTAGTGGATCAGCGCTGTGGTAGGTTGTCCCGCCCCTCAGAGGTGGCACTGCTCCATCACAGTCCACGCACAGGCAGGGCACCGCCCCTCCCGGGACTGTGCTGGGCACTTCTGCTCCGGCTGGGCTAGGAAGCTGCTCTTGGCACACGGTTCCAGATGTGCTGCGTTTCTCGTAGCACTCTTGTTCGAGTCATGCAACACATGACTTAGGACACAGGTGGAGAACGTCCTGCCTGTGGACCGTGTGAAGCTTTCAAAATCATCTGATCTGGCCCTGCCAAGACAGCCACAGGTGGGACTCAAATTTCAAGCAGTCATACAGCAGGCTAATTTTTTTTAAAAAAAGATTTTTATTAGGACTCATATTGAAACTTGTCAAGATACCTTTTCACTATGGTGCTAGGTTTTCAACCTTTGCCTGTACTTAACATGCAATGGTACATTTGAATATTAAAAAGTTAAACATGTAACCTATACTAAGGGACTGTACTGTTGTGATAGTGTGAGCTGAGCTGGTCTGCAGTTGAGAGCTAGGACCTCTTTCTGGGTCTTCCATGTGGGTGTATGGGCCCAAGCACTTGGGCCATCCTCCGCTGTTCTTCTAGGCTGTAAGCAAGGAGCTGGATGGGAAGTAGAGCAGCCAGGACCTGAATTGGTGCCCATATGGGATGCTGGCACTGCAGGCAAGGGATCAGCCTTATGCATCACTATGCCAGCCCCAACTATTTTTTAATTGCATGTGGCATGAAAATGATGTTATAAATATGCACATGGTCCTCGGCAACAAGGTTCCCTACTTCTAGAAGGAGGACACTGGTATCTTTCAGCCCACAGGTACAGGCTGGGTGTGGCAGGAATGCAGATTCATACCTGTTGCTCAGCCAATAGCCGAGTCTTAGCAGCATCCCTGGCGGCCTGAGCAGGCCTTTACGAGCCTCCCAAAGGACTGGCTACATCACTTGTTTGTTTGCTTATCCCAACGTGCCTCTTTCTGCTCAGGTGGATTTAGAAATAAGTTTTCCCGAGTGTCAACCTCCCTAATGACTGACAATTGTGTATGCAGACATTTGCAGGTGGATACGGAGGGGCAAGTCATTAGCCAAAGAAGCAAATGTAGTAAATGAAATAATTGTAATCAGAGCTACTCTTTTGTTAGCTTGTTTATTCTTTATTTTATGACACAGTTTAATAGGCGTTGGGGTTTCCCCTCCCCTTCCCTCCTCCACTGTTCTCCCTTCCAGTGGTGTCTTTCGTCCATCATACTGCCACTGACGTGTCTCCCGACAGTGTAGGAGACTCTGTTGTTTTGCTGTGAGTCCATCCTTGCACTGCATGCATGGGGACCTACTTCTGTTTCTCCCTGTGAACATACATATTTCCACTCTGCTTCCATTATACATTACCCTAGGTACAGGCCACCATGCATGAGTTGAAAAGGAAAAAAAAAATAGAATTAAGTAAAATAGTGGATCTTCATCTCTGTGGTGTTATCGAACTCATAACAAAGGTATCAGTGTGATGCTAAGGTGGTGCAAAAGAGTGTCCAACATCTTCCTGCAGAAATAAATGTTAGCGTGTGACTGTGTGGTTCAAATGGGAGTACAGCAGGGCTAGATCATCGTTCCCATGGGTAGTAGCAGTAACAGTGAGAGAGGGATATTAACAATCTCGGGGGATCACGAGCAATCAGTCTCTCATGAATTACTGATTAATAGATTACATCACAAGATCTTATTCGTGTGTTACAAACATCTAGGGAGTGCAATAAGATAAAATTCACAGGTACAATCCTTAGATTTGACATCATATTCTTACATTAAGGCAAACATATGATATCTGACCTTTTGGGACTGGCTCATTTCCCTTAGCATAATGGTTTCCAGTTGGGCCCATTTAGCCACAAGGAAATGGTTTTCATTTTTTAATCGCAGAGTAGTATTCCATAGAGCAGCTGAACCACAGTCTCCTGATCCAGTCCTCTGTTGCTTCCGTGTTTTTGCCATTATTGGCTGTGGTGCTATGAACATAGGGTGCATGCTGCTTTCTCATGTAGCAGGTATTGAGAGTATATTCCTAGAAGTGGTGATGCTGGGTCATGTGCTAGGTGGGTTCTCAGTTGCCTGAGTATTCTCCATACTGATTTCCATACATATTCCCGTGAAACATAAAGTGGTATATTACTGCTGGTTTCATTTTCTTCCTCTTCAAGAAGAATCTTAAATTCTGGGGTTGGCAAAACAGTAGGAGGAGATACTGGAAGCAAATTGTTTTTCAGAGGGGATGCCCACCTTGGGCACTCGATGGGCCGCCCAGAGGCAGGACTCAATGTTTCTGCGGTCAGGGTTTCCCACAGGGTGTCCCACAATGTCACACAGGTGGGACAGGCTTTCTGGGGCCAGGAACCTCCAGGTGGGAGAAGATGTGGAGAAAGGCTGTGTTGTCCGACCCCTCGCCTCACGCTCCGCCTTTCCCTGCAGCCGTTCCGCTGTGCCCACTGCCATTACTCCTGCAACATCTCTGGCTCCTTGAAGCGGCACTACAACAGGAAGCACCCCAACGAGGAGTATGCCAACGCGGGCAGCGGGGAGCTGGCGGCCGAGGCACTCATCCAGCAAGGTAGGTGAGGGGCCCTGCCCGATTCCTCCCTCCGCGTCCTGGATGTCCACTGCTAAGAGGCGCTTGCTGGCATGTGACAGCTCAGCACCAACTGGGACCCATCATCTGTGTTCCTTTTCCATCCTGTTGACTGATGTCACTTTCATTCCCTCACTGTGTCTCATCAGAGTGATTTATTACCTGGCTGATGTCCCAACAGAAGATCTGCAAGGTCAGCGGTAGCGCCCCGTCCCTGGTCCCAGCGCTACCACCTGGCCTGTGTCAGGAGAGCCCTCTCCTCCTGTCGTGCATGAAGTGTGCAGAAATGGAGGCTCCTGCTGTGCTGTCTCTGCTGAACGCTGACTGGCAGGCCTGTTGGCTTTTCTTTGGGGTGCTGTCTCCCCGGTGTACCTCTCTCAGGTCTTCTGTGCTTGAATGGAAGCACAGTAATAATCCCAGCCTTGATCATGGTGTGGTTTCTAGATTTTTTCTTCTAGGCACCCCCAGCGTAGCTATTACAGCATGTTTGCAAATGAACATTTTTGGGGGATGATCTAAGAATACTTCCTGGGTACCCAGATTGCTTATTCATTTGGAAAAGAAAAAACATTCTGGAATATTTAAACTAAAGAGAGCTGAAGAAAACCCCTGATGGTTCCTTCTTTTATTTATTGATTTATTTTTCAATAAATAGCCACACCCTCTCACCTGAGGGGGCTTGGTCACGTGTTGTCTGCATGTAAGGAAATGCTGCTGTTGTCAGAATCGCACTTGGGTAAATCAACCAGAAAGTGATTGCAGTGTGCGCGTTGCTGCTGTTTCCCGGGTTCCCAGGCAGCTTGCAGCTGAGGACAGAAACCTGCCCTGGGGGATGCAGAGGTGTGGGCTGCAGACACCACCGCAGCTGGGGACTCCAGGCGTTTCCGTGCAGTGGGGAGCTCCGTTGGCTCTTCACGTCATCTTCAGGTCAGGTCTGTGAGTTGGCTGTGTCCTGCAGCCGACTGAAGCGTGACAGGCTGCTGGCAGGGCAGAGGTGGGCGGCAGAGAAGGCTCAGGGCCAGTTTGAAGCTGCCCTCGGGGCGGCAGAGGGAGCTCGTGCGCTGTCCTGCTAGGACAGGCCATGGCGGGCGCTGGCTTGAGCCTGCTCTCCTTTGCTCTGGTCCCACCGCCTGGGCGCATCCCCCAGCCTCTGCTCCTTGGGCCCTGCAGCCTGGAAGGTGGTCCTGCCCACATGCTTGTGCTGCAGTGGAGTGGGAGAAGCGAGGGAGCACTCCCAGCATCTGGTGCCTGCTGTGTTTTCCTTCCTTGCTGTGTTTTCTGAAAACACCCAGAACTCCTGGAGCATCGGTGTGATTTTTTTTTAGCATATCCGTGTCTGGGGGTCTCAGGAGAACGGACTTGGAGACCCCATTGATCACTGCAGTAGAAGGGTGGAGATGCATCTGTGTGTCCTCCACCCTCTTGGGTTGGGTTGACAGGAAATGGACACTTCCTGTGGCCGTGGGGACAGGCAGGGGCCTGACTGATTATACTGCCATCACCCTGTGCTTCCATGCTTTCGTCATCCCCTTGCAAGATTTTGCTGAAGTTGAGCTCTTCCCTGCCCTGTGTTTTTCAGTCACTCTATAAAGACTGTAATCGCTTGGCAGGGCCTGGGTGTTCTGTGTCATCATTGCAGGGTTGTTTGGGCTTCTTTATTCACATTTCCTCCCTACCCTCTTCTGTGGATGTGCTGGGGAGGGAGGCATTTCCGTGTCCCTTAGCCCTTGAGAGTCATCAGTTGCCTGAGCAGGAGGACAGAATAAACACGGATTGTGTGCAAGCCGTGTGGAGGGGCTGGCGTTGTGGTGCAGCAAGTTAAGCCTCCACCTTCTGTCATCCCATAGGGATTGCAGTTTCAGTCCCAGCCGCCCCACTTCCATGAATGCCCTCAGGAAAGCAGTGCAAGATGACCTAAGTGCTTACGCCCTTGCCACCCTTGTGGGAGACATGGTTGAGACTCACTTGTTCTTTCTGTCTCTCCCTCCTGACCTCCTTCTATCTGCATCAGCCCTTCCTCTCCCTTCTTCCCCCTTTCCTGTCTGTAACTTTCAAATAAATAAATCTTTTTTTTTTAAAGTTACTTGAAAGACAGAGTTAAGAGAGAGCATGGTGGAGTGCTGGCCTCCTTCTGCTGGTTCACTCCCTGGAGTGAGTGCTGGCCTCCATCTGCTGGTTCACTCCCTGGAGTGAGTGCTGGCCTCCATCTGCTGGTTCACTCCCTGGAGTGAGTGCTGGCCTCCTTCTGCTGGTTCACTCCCTGGAGTGAGTGCTGGCCTCCTTCTGCTGGTTCACTCCCTGGAGTGAGTGCTGGCCTCCTTCTGCTGGTTCACTCCCTGCAGTGCTGGCCTCCATCTGCTGGTTCACTCCCCAAACAGCTCAAAGCCAGCTCCAAGTCAGGCTGAAACTAGAGCCAAGAGCCTCTTTAGGGTTCCCTCAGAGGTGACAGGAGACCAAGCACATGGGCTCTCTTCTGCTTTTCCCAGGTGATTTGCAAGGAGTCAGTTCAGAATGGAGTGTGCCAATGACTCAAATTCGCACCAATATGGGCACCCATCCATAGGTGGTTGCTTAACTGGCTGTACCACAATGTGATCCCCTCAAATAAATATTGTATGTTTTTTGTTTTGTTTTTAAAGTTAACACACAGTGTGGAAAACCCTGAGCCATGAAGCCCCTGAGGTTCTCGCATCTGCTGGTCAGAGGGAGCAGGACAGGGAGAGTGTGGCAGAGGGTGAAGCTGCACTGGTGTCGCTGGGGACTGCTGGATGGCACTGGACCACTGGGGTTTTTCTCTCTGTTGCTTTCAACAGATTCTCTCCAGCTCCTCTTGATTTTCTTTGCCTCTTCTGTTTTCCTTCCCACCAAAATATTTTTGTGAGATGTTATGGTTTTTCAATTTGCTGTAAAGGAAGAGGTGCGAAGGTGATAGCATAACAGAGAGCTGGGAGTGAGATGTTGGTGTCCCAAGTGATGCCCCATCTCACCAAGCTAAACGCAGATGCTCACAATCCCACACGTCGTCTGGGGAGAGTTTGTTCTCCTGCCTTGACCAGCTCCCAAAGGCTTGCGACCTCTTCCTCCCCTTCGTCTCATGGCAGGCATCGCTGGGCCTGGCTCACCAGCCTCCTTGCTAAGACCCCTGCCATGACCTTGGGCTTGTTTAACCCGCCTTAATCATCCCACATGCAGATCCTCAACTGAGTCACACCTTTGCCATGGGAGGTCATGTAGTGTCCATGTCCTGGGTGCCATCGCATGGGCTGGAGCTCAGCCTTTCACCTTAGGTGATAACTAGGACCTGAGAACATGAAGGACGAGCGTCGGGTCACATGAGCCAGCACCGGGTGCGGGTCTCAGGGCTGGGCTTCCCAGGAGCAATCCCGGCCTGCCATTCCGGAATTCTGTTATTGAAAAGGCAGTAGGTTTATCAGTGCTGCCAGGCACCACAAAGGAACGCAAATACTTCCATGTATTGCATTCCACAAAGAACAAAGGACACCGCAGCTGATTTTTCAAACTACTTCTGGAATTCTACACATGCTCTTGCCTGGTGTATCTGTCCTGGGGAGGAAATTATAATTCTGGGAGACTGCCCTTTTCATGGTGGGTCCTTAATGCCAAGGTCACGAGTGAACTCACCATGTCCCTCTATTGACCCTTATTGTATGTTGCCTGAGACTCTAATGAATTGAAATAGAAATTAATTTCTTGCAGCTTTGATGTCAATTAACTGGCATGGTTATACATTCGGGCTAGATTACACATTTCCATTTGTTGTTCTTTAATTAAAGTCACTGTGGCAAAGGTTGAAGTTTTAATTAATGTGGGGGCACTATCATATTAAGTTTAATTTAAACATAATATGAGGATGTTTTTCTCCCTAAATTGGTTTCCACTAAAGAGCCACCTCAGAAGGAATCTTTAATTTCATTTCCAAGCCCAAGTTTCACCTTGGATGGTTGGCGTGTGCCCGTCGCCACGTTATTACGGCCCTGGGAGACAGCAGCCTCGGCGCAGTCAACCTCACGCCTTGAAGGTTTTCAAGGACGATCATGGGAGAGTGCACAATCTTAGGTAGTTAATAAGTAGCAAGAAAGGTGAGAGACGAAGTCTGATTATTCTCTGGACAAGAAAGGACAAGCCCAGAAAACAAGCACAGTGTGTTTGGGTTTTCTGAAAACTAATATGTGTGTTTGAGCTGCCTTTTGTGTGGAATGTTCTGGAACTTAAGAGTTCGGTGTCTGGCATCACTTTGCGGCCTTTTGACTAAGATCAGGTGTAAGAATTCAGTGTCTGTTGCCAGGCTTTGCATCAAAGGCAGGAACCATTCCCCACCAGCTGTTCTTTCTGTTGGTCTGCCAGGCTTTCTTGTGCAAGAATGAGGGCTGGCAGGCCACGGTGAGGAGTCAGGATGGTATTCCGGGTATGAGAGAAAGCTGCTGGAGGATTTCCCACCTGCGTAACCTGAGTTTTCTTCATGCTTTTACAGGGTAGCTCTGTGCAGAGTGGCAGGTGGGAAACAGTGGAGGACGAACAGGGCTACCAGATTGGTTAGGAACCAGTTGCTCCCATTTGTGCAAAAGACGATAGTGGCCTGAACCGAGGGCTGAGCGACGGCCTTGGGAATGTGTGCTTCTGTTTGGCCACGTGAACGTGAGGTCCCCAGTGGGCGGCACCTCAGGTTGGAATTCAGGGCAGAAGTCTGAGCTGGCCTTACGTATCGAGCAGTCATCACTTTATGGGTAATGTGTCAAGTGTCATGAGCCCCTGACACCCAAGAGCCTCTGGGCTGTCTCCCTCCATTTTACAAAGGGGCAGGGAGAGACAACCTGGGGAAGAATGTCTGGGTACTCCACCTTGAAGCCGTGAGCTGGGCTGAGAACAGGAGCCAGCGCAGGGCAGGGCAGGGCAGGGCACCAGGACCTGGCTACAGAGAAGAGTGGGGGGGGGGCGTCTCTACGCAGTGGGACCTGCACTCAAGTGGAACTGACAACCTGGTGGGGGTAAGAGGGGTACTCTGAACACATCTGCAGTGGCATGTGAGTGTTCAGTTTAAAGCGCTTATTGGTTTACCATTACTTCTTGTATTTCTTTCATATTAGCATAGAATGCTGACAGTGTCTAAGTAGATGGCATTGTATACAAATTTTGTTTGAAAATGGTAAGAAATATAAGGGTGCTTCAAAAAGTATGGAAAGAAATTCAAAGTTAAGTTTATCGTGTTGCAAAGAATCTCTGAAACCCATCTTGTGTGGTGTACTCACGTGCAGAGGGAGGGGAGAGCTCCTGCTGTGAATGAACGGGGACCTTCCTGGGCTAGGAGGGAGAGTTGTAGGGATTCTTCCGAGACTCGGAAAGACTGGACAGGGATCCTGTTGGTTGGAAACATGGGGATGTGGTGGACTTTTTGCCTCAGCATCCTGGGGTCAGAGCAGTTGGCTTAATTGTGAGCCATTGGCTTCCCAAGTAGGAAGGAGAGAAAGAGAAGCGTTCATGGATGTTGAAGCTTTCGTCAATAGAAGTGTGAACACTGGAGTGTGGGCCCGCTGGAGAGGGAAGCAGAGCTGTGCAGGAGCACTGGGAGAAAACGGGACAGTACAGACTGCCTGGTAGACTGAGGTCTGCTGCCAGGGTCCCGGTTTCCCTCCTGGGGCAGAGCTTGCGTCTGAAAGAGCACCTGTTCGCCGAGGCTCTGTGCCACCTCCATATCCTGCTTCTGACTCAGATGGTCTTTCATGTGGTTCTAAAGACTCCACCGTCCCCTTTTTGAAAACGTGGAATATTATATTCTGTTAATCAAAGCATCCAGATATTTCCCAGACCAAGTGAAAAATGTGCTAAGCAAAAGTGACCTTTCAGGATGTGAGCAGCTTCCGCATTTGCTCTCTCCTGGGACCTCCAGGTGATACTCACCTGTGACTTAGCTGCTGACTTACAAAGCTCTGGGAACGGGCTCCTGCTGATGGGCATGGCACTGGGACCGGCCTCCCACTGATGGGCGTGGCACTGGGAGTGGGGATCCTGCTGATGGGCGTGGCACTGGGAGTGGGGCTCCTGCTGATGGGCGTGGCACTGGGAGTGGGGATCCTGCTGATTGATGGGCGTGGCACTGGGAGTGGGGCTCCTGCTGATGGGCGTGGCACTGGGACCAGCCTCCCACTGATGGGCGTGGCACTGGGAGTGGGGATCCTGCTGATGGGTGTGGCACTGGGAGTGGGGATCCTGCTGATGGGCGTGGCACTGGGAGTGGGGATCCTGCTGATGGGCGTGGCACTGGGAGTGGGGCTCCTGCTGATGGGCGTGGCACTGGGAGTGGGGATCCTGCTGATGGGCGTGGCACTGGGAGTGGGGCTCCTGCTGATGGGCGTGGCATTGGGAATGGGTTCCCGCTGAGGTGCAGGGCAATGAAATTGGGGCACCTGCTAAGGTGAGGGATGATGGGAGTAGAGCAGAGGAGACTGAGGAAACACCACTGATGTTCTTTTTTTTTTTTTGTCTAAATCAATTTGTTATTTGCAAATAGAACATAAAAGGAGGCTTTAAGCTGTCTGCTCAGTCCAGGGAATTACATTATGAATCCTATGTCTCATTGGCATTTAAAATATCAGGCACGTATTAGGCTTGCTGTAAATGTTTATTTAGTGTAAGAAAAAGGGACATTAGATTGAAATCTTGGCTCTGAAAAACACATATAATGTTGCTGTAGCATTCCAGGACTAAGGTAAACTTGGATGGAAAACAGATGCTGGAGCTAAAATAATGTGCTTATCTCGAGGCATTTTTGGTGTTTTTTATATACTTGACCTTTTTTTTTTATTTTAAATGTACCTCTGTCTGTGTTTGCAGGTGGTTTGAAATGCCCTGTTTGCAGCTTTGTGTATGGCACCAAGTGGGAATTCAACAGGCACTTGAAGAACAAACATGGCTTGAAGGTGGTGGAAATTGATGGAGACTCCAAGTGGGAGGTAACTTTTTAAAGTACGGTATTAATCTTGACATTTCTGAGATGACAAGCAAGGCAGAGCCCAAGGCCTGGGCAGAGACCGTGTGCCCCAGAGCACTGGGTTTTCTGGGTGAGATACTTGTGAGACCTTTTCAAGACGTGTTTTGTGTTTGAAGGGTATAATGGGGCAAGATCAGGGCCACAAATGTGATTCTTATTCTTAGTTGAACTTGGATTTCTTTATGAGTGTTGCTATTGACCTCATCCCTGATGTTACGTCCGAAAGAAGACCCGAAGGTGAGGAGTGAGCTGTCATCTCTCTTGGGAGAGCGGAGGGGCTGCGGGCGTTGGCTGTAGAGGATGTCCAGAATCTTGCAGGTGCTTGGATGCTTCTTCGGCCTCCGCCCAGTGTGTAACAGCAGCGTCACCTCCACCTCTCCATCTCCACTCAGACACCAGCTGCCTCTAGGCACCCACACTGGTCATTGTCCCTGGGGTGTCAGAACAACTTCCACTTGAGCAGTGGACTTTACACAGCATCCCAGTGTCCAGGAGGGAAGGCTTTGTTTAAAAAAACAAACTTCACAGCACATGAGAAGAAAACATCTCACCATCACGATGACCCATAGTTTTTGTCACAGGGGAGAAGTGACCCCTCCTTTGCACAGCTGGAGAGGGGAAGTGACATGATGATTTCTATTGATTGAAAGCAGTTGGTACAGTAGATCTGATGAAGTGTCTATAAGATGGAAAAAATAATGTCCCTGTCTCAGCCCCAAATCCAGCCTCTTTCTTCACTGGGAAACACTAGATTTTCAACTAAAGTCCAAACAAGACAAGGGTGCCTGGCTGCCTCGGGACTCCCATGTCCCGTTGGGGGCCCCAGCATGAGTAGACGAGATGAGGCAAAGCACGTAGAGTTGCACTCACAGAACAGACAAGGTAGACCTTTGGTAGGATTATCTTACAGGAAAATCCAGAGAGTAAATGACAGTTTGTGAACAGTAAGCATCGGATTGCACATATTGCAGGCTATGGTCCATGCAGGAGTCTTTTAGAAAGATCCTGGAAGATGGAATTAAAAGGTGGCATTTATCTTGCTGCAAAAGATTGAAACTTCATGTGTACTATGTGTGAGAGTTTGTGTAACCAGTTGGAAAATAGAATAGAGGCAAAGGTTTAATTTACTAAGAGAAGCAAATGAGAGAGAGAGAGAGAAATCTGTGAACATGTAAGCATAAAGCACTCCTAAAGGAACACCAAGCTGAACCAGGGGGTGGGAATACTCAGCCCAAAATGCTAATGTTCCTGAAGTAAAATTGCAAGGTGATTTATCATATAATCTCAGAATAAGAAGACCATTTGATTTTTTTTCCCCCCAGAGCTAAAAAAGGTGATTCCTGAAGTTAACCTGAGCCTTGGAGAAATGGCCATGAGAGAAAAATCCCACTGGATATTAGACCTTTTATGAAACCTCTTTACTGAGAGGTCGTGCCTGCACAGATGGTCTGACGGGCGGGAAGCCTTGTCTCTGGCAAGGGCCTGCTGGACAGTGATGACGGCATCTGTGGGCCACTCAGTGAGCGACCTGCATGCAGGCTGCTGGCATGTGCCGACTTCCTGCCTGTGGCTGCGTCGCCAGGGCTGGATGACTAAGTGACTCACAGGCCTGCCGTGGTGCACGTGACAGGCACCCTCCATCCTTGCGACACTATAGCAAATTCAGAGAAGGCTCGGTGACGCGTGGACCTTTAGTGTTCATCAGGATGGTCTCCTTCCTTGTTTGGAGACAAATGTGCTTTTTAATAAGCAAGTAGGGTAACAGCAGCCACATGAAAGAAGATAAAATCAGATCTGATTTTCATAACTCGTATGAGCCAGATTTGTAAGGATCAAAGATGTACGTGTAATGACAGTGATTCTTTAAAACTGCCACATGAAACGTGAGTGAATACATCTAAAAACAATGTAGAGGACATTCATAACTTCAGTTGAAAATCCATGTTCAGTGAGGGGAAAAGTGCACAGAAAAAATTCAAAATGCCTTATAGACCAGAACTTACGGACAGGTGAAAATGATGAAGTTGGTTTTGTCACATAAAAGTCATTAGCATCTTTATAAGATGCTTCTGGTGTGGCATTGAACAAGATTGCAACTCAGTAGAAACATAGGCAAGAAATAAGAGTAATTCATAGAAAAGGAAATGTGTATGATCCTGAACATCGGTAAAGGTGATCAGCCTTACACAGAATAAAGGAAGTATTCATTGAATCCAGGCCGAGATAGAATTCCTCACCCATTTGATTGGCAGGAATCTGAAAGTGGAAGCTCGTTGCTGTAGGAGATCCTGTGGAGAAAGACCCCCTCTTACGTTGCTTGCAGGAATGCAGAATGTTCTAGCCACTGGGGAAGGAGAATGGCAGTGTGCAGCAAAGTTGCATACCGATTTCTTCAGCCTCTAACTAAATAGTCCCACTGTTGGGAAACCACCCCGAAGTCACATTGGCAGAAAAGAGCAGACACTTCTGTGAAAGGCCATTCCTTATGGCGCCATCGGTTATAGCCCATGGCTGGAAACAACTGGATGTCTGTCTGCAGGAAGCTGTGTGAGTACTGGAGGGCACAGCTCCACAGGGAACACCCATGCAGACATGGAAAGGAGGAAAGGGTGTCCCCACAGAGGTCTGTGGGCTGGTCTCCAGGGGCACTGCTCCTCAGTGAGGACACAGGAAGAAACTGTGTGTGTGTATGTTTAAAACAAAAGAAATTTTTAAAAAGTTTAAACTTTTTAAAGGGCGTATATGGCAATGGGATCTGTGCTATACAAGAGTGCCATTGTTGCTGTAAAGAGAGCAGGGTGGAAAGATGCTGACGTAAGTAACTTTGGGAAAGAGTGTTTTCATTGATGCTCTAAGGTTAAAGAAAAAAGAACTGTGGATAAGTATTGTGATCTCGTTAGCAAATAATGGTTTTCCTAGCAGTGCATGTTAATGATTCTGAAACTACGTCATTGATACATTGCAAAGGAACAACTGAATACGTGTGTTATAGATCATGAGATCCAGGCGCCTCGTTGCTGGGAAAAGAGCAACAAACAAGCGTAGAAGAACAGCAAGAATGGACTTGGTCATGCTCAGCTGGAGTTGGCAGAATGACTGTGAACTCACCCCCAAACACATGTGCTGTTTCACACAAGCCTGTACTTGTACCAGCTTTCAGTGCTGAGGGGCCTAGACACAGTGACACCAGGGTAGCAGTGAGCACCCCTGTGCCCAGGTCTTGGTTTCCGACAGCATTCTCTAATAAAGGTGTGCAGGGTACCTCGGAGAAAGTACGGATTCCCATTCCCAGGGCCGAATTAGAACTATGTGGATGCTCCGGGGACAGGAAGTAGCGACATGCAGTCGACAAGACAGGTAGAAGGTAGCTGGGTAAAATGGATTCATGGTAGATTATGTAGAAATAGATAGGTGTATAGAAAAGAGTAGATACATGACAGAAGATAAGTCTACAGATGGGAAGGAGACGATAGCAGGACATGTGTATGAGACGTAGAAACAGCCAGGAAGAATTCCCCAAAGGCCAAGCTGGAATGGCTGTAGTAACAAATGCTTCCCATGTGTTCCTACAATACCAGCAAGCAGATAGAAAGAGAGGAGACTGATTCTGGTTAATGCACATAGAAAGAGTCAGGGAAATGGAAAATAGTCACTGGGCCAATCGCAGCAGGTCAGTTCTCTCAATAATCGCAGAATGAGCGGACAGACACTTAGGAATACTTACATAACCTCAAATACTGTCCTGTACATATTAGTTACCGAGGGGAAGGAGGAGGTTTACCAAGGAGGGACCCAGCACTGCCACCTTAATCAAGGACCCAGAGTGGCATGGTAAGTTAGAAACGGCCCTTTTGCAGCCTTCTAATGATGGCATGGCTCTCCCAGCGATCCTTGATTCCTGCTGCTTCCAAGGGAGTGGAGGAGCTGGCTGTACTGAGTGCGTCAGCTGATGGAGGTACATGATAAAACCCAGAAATCATTCTTGACAGAGCAGAACCTCAGGTGTATTGAGTGCATTTAGTCATATACAGCTGCTAAGTTACAGGAAATACAGCAGGTGGGGGTCATGCTCATAGATTGCAAGTGATGCAGTCAGCAACATCCGGACTGCTGGACACCCCCTAGAGCTAACACCTGCTGCCTCCAGGACCTAAACAAGTAGGGCTAGGGAGAGGGGGGATGGAGTTTGAAGCTCTTAGGGAGAAATTAGTTCTAATGTGAGAACTTCATTTACATTTGATTTGGACAAACTTAAAGCATTTGAGTTAACTGGGGTCTAGATACTTGATGATATTAAACTTTTTTTTTGGACTGTATGTGTGTGACAGTGATATTGATATTGTGGTTATGTTTTGAAAGAGCCCCTTTTTAGAGATTCTGAGATATTCATAGAGGAAATGCTGAATCTGGGTTTGCTTCAGAATGACCCATGGGCAGGTGTGGAGTTGGGGTGTAGCAGCATTGTTGCAAACAAGGGAGTGAGTTGAGCATTGTTCAGACTGAATGAAGGATTCTGTATGGAGGCAGGTGATTCTCAGGTCTCATCTTTTATGCATCCTTGTTTGTACTCCCCCTGACTCCCGACAAGTTTGTTCTGAGAGTACAGGCTTTGGAATCTGAGAAACTTTACATGGAATCCTGTCCATCCCCTACAAACTCCTTGACCTTGCACCATTCCTTCCACTCTGTGGCCTTGTCACCCCCCTGCATGCCAGGGGCTGGTCAAACAAGAGCCTGAGAAGTTGAAGGGATTGACAGGAACCATGCCAAGTAATTTATCCTGTAAGCCGCTCCCCGGGAGCCCTCAGAAAATGCAGTTGCTGTGGTGGTTCTTGACGTTGGTGATGGTGTCAACTTCACATTTTCATCTCATGAAACAATCAACCTGTGTTTCCAATTGATGCTGCAAGAATTTCTTCTCGTTAGCAATGCATACATTGAAATGCCAACTCTTGATGTCAAACTCAGTCCATCTGGGCCTGGCACAGTGGCTAAAGCCTTCTCCTTGCACACACCAGGATCCCATATGGGTGCCGGTTCTAACCACAGCAACCCCGCATCCCATCTGGCTCCCTGCTTGTGGCCTGGGAAAGCAGTTGAAGATGACCTTGGGACCCTGCGCCTGTGTGGGAGACCAGAAGAGGCTCTGGGCTCCTGGCTTCGGATCGGCTCAGCTCCATCCTTTGCAGCTGCTTGAGGAGTGAATCAACATCTGGAAGATCTTCCTCTCTGTCCTCTGCTCTGTAGATCTGACTTTCCAATAAAAATAAATATTAAAAAAACAACCATCTGGGTCAGTGATATCGCTGTCCTCTGAAGGCCTCCCTTGTGGCAGAGGCCAGCACCTTCAGCAAAGCTTTAAAACCAACAGGAGGAGTGATGCCAGGCCATGGGCCCAGCGTTGCGATCCAGCAGCCAGGACCCTGCGCAGAGAGGGTGCTGCACCCTCCTTCCAGAAGGAGAGGAGCCCTTTCATGGCTGAGGCACTGCTTGGCTGCCATGTTGGCTGATATGCTGCTCAGTGGCACTCGCAGGAAAGTGTTCTGTTTGTTAAATTACACGTTCCTCCAGTCTTTACTGGGTGTCTGTTACATGTCAGGCTGCAAATGCCTTAATGAACTTGGCCACTTGGCTGTAAAAGAATAATTACACGCAACCCCGATCTTTCATGCGAGCTCCTGAGAAGTGATGTGGAGCAGAACTTTGGCTCCTGAACTTTGTGTGAGGGCCTTCGTTTTGTTCTTGTCTCTCAGTGACGTTTATGCTTCCTGCCATGCAGTGTTGCAGGTGCCCTCACCCCTTCTAGGAGTGATGGTTACTAACACCTGCTCTTGTGAAAATTCTGTCCCTCTTTTCTCCTTGAGTCCCCAGGTGCCTGCATCTATGTGTGCGTATGTCTCTTCAGTTCTTCCCACCCTCACAGAATTCTGATCTGGCAAAAATGATTCTTGTAGTTTGAGCACATGCATCCTATGAGAAGCAAGGATGGCACAGACCTGAGATTGACTGGCTTTTCACAGGGTGCAGGGTCATCAGAATGGGCCGTGTGCTTACTCACACCCTCCTTCCTGCACATTGCAGCACCTTCTGTTAGCTGCGATATGAGGTCTTGTGTCAGGAGCAGGTTATTGGTGGCGATGGGCCAGCTGGAGGAGACAGAGGAACCCCTAATGAACATGTGCAGGAATATCTCTTAGGTGTAAACAGCGGCCACTGTACCCTGCTGCAAGGATTGTGGCAACAAGCTTCCCAGCAAAGCTCGTTTCAGAAGCATCTTTGTGCTTCCTTGAAAGGAGGAGCTTTGTCTTTGCGAAGCATTTTTATTGGGAGCCTCTGGTTGCTCAGAGATGTCGGTAAAGGAGATGTTGCAAAGTTTTGTTTGCTTCTCTGCACTTGCTTTGTCTTCATGCTTTTCCCCCAACTTCCAGCTGTGAGCTTCTTTAGTAGACAATCCCTTAGGTCTTGTGTTTTTGTTTAGCCTGCAGCAGACACTCCTGAGGAGCCCTCCACCCAGTATCTCCACATCACAGAGGCTGAAGAAGACGTGCAGGGGACGCAGGCAGCGGTGGCTGCTCTTCAGGACCTGAGATACACCTCCGAGAGTGGTGAGGGAACACCCCGTTTTCCTTGGGTCATCAGAATGGGTCCCTGCTGGGCGCAAGGAATGAGTGAGTTTGCCAGTGTGAGAGACCTGGCAGCAGAGCTCTGGACCATGCTGGCCCAACGTCTGTACTACTGTCCAGTGGGCAACCCCCGAGAACTCTACCCTGGACACATCCGCGAACAGAGCCATCCTGGGGAACTGCCTCACATCTTAGGCCAGTCAGGGCACAGAAGCACTGGTGAGAGAAGCAGAGCTCTGCTCACATCCCCAATGCCCCGGGGGCTTTTCCTTGTGCAGGGGTGGCTGGGCTCAGCCATTGTGGGGTGGGAGCTAACCCTGGGATCCCAACCCTGGTTTGTTCTCTCCATGGTCCCACACTCCTTTCTTGTGGCTCTGTGTTCCAGGATCTGTCTCACTCTGGGATGCATAGGAGTGAAGCACACAGGGGAATTGGGTGGCCGAGATGGGCAGTTTGGCATGCTCCTTGTACACCCAGGGACCTGTGGTCACTTACTTCTGTACTTCTTCCCCAAAGGCCCAACCGGGATTTTGTCATCAAATGCCATGATTTCCAGTGTTAGTTTAAATAAAAACAGCTCACTATGGCAACCTAGTAGTAATTGGGGCAGTACTCACAGAAACAATTTTTCCTGCTGCTCTTTACAAAATCTGAAAACACACACACACACACACACACACACACACACACACACACAGGTTAACATTATCAAGTATAGCGCCATCTATACCTGCAGGCCACACCCAAGCAAGTGGGGTCATGGGAACACACAAGACAAAGTCTAGTGGGGATAGAAAAATGAGTTAGGAAAGCACAGTGTCTGCCCAGGTTATATGAAAGCAGCAGGAAAACTCCCACAGGGTGCTGGGCTTAGGGAGGATTCTCCAGAGACTGAGTGCACCTGCTGACTGAAGGGCATTCGAAATGAAGGGCCTGTGCTTCTGCAGATGGCAGAGTGGAGGTGAGGCCCTGCTTCCTGGGGTGTTTCCTTCCTAAGCATTCAGCAGCATCATGGATTGCTCAAGCCTTGCCCAAAGCAGCCTGTTTTCATCCCCCACAAATGCACTCGCGTACACACTCATGCACAGACATGTGTTCATACACACACGCACACACATGTACACACACATGCACACATGTTCACACACATTCACATAAGCACATTCATACATAGTGTGCATAGAAGCTCATACACAGAAACACACATACAGTCATGCATCCACACACATGCACAAATACATGCACACACTCACCCTCACACAAGTGCCACACGTGTGAGCCACCTGCTCCAGTGCTATTTGGAACGTGATCTGGTGCCTGCCCCTCAGCTTGTTATCTGCCTGCCTCATTCTGTTCAGAACTTTGTGCTGTCTGTGGAGTTCCACTTACCTCTTCAATACTGTCCCTCTAACTGCCCTGATAGGGGAACCTGGTGTGATGCATTGTGAACAAACACAAAGGTACCTCAACAGGTGCATGAAGAATAGAACATAAATAGAAGTTTTGAAACCCTACCTGTGCATTGTTCTTTTCCTAATGTGCCCTTTCTACAAAATTTTTGAAGACTCCCTTGTGTGCATGGCTTAAATTTTTTTTTTTTTTTTTTTTGCACCAGAATCAGTGTATCTTGCAGTCTGTTTGTGTACAAGCTTTCTGAGGTGCCCTCCCCTGTGCAGCCCTACCTCGGCCATGTGGCATGCCTTTCTTCCGCAGAGCCACCTGGAGTTCCCCTTCTCTGCTGTCACTGATGGACTCCCATTGGCATGTGGCCCGTTTCATGTTCCCTGTAATGGTGCAAGTGTTGGCAAGACTTCCTGATCTTACGCTAATGTGGAAGTCAAGCAGCAATTTCCTTTTAGTAAATTAATGATCAGGGTCAGGGTGTGCTCAGAAGGAGTTCAAATGCGGTAAGCAGGCAGCAGGTAGCTACCCTGAGCCCAGGAAAAGAGAATGCCAAATTTGGATAGGTTTGTAGTTCCAAAGCAGACCGGGAAGACATTCGCATTATTTTACCAGTGACCATTGTAATGTCCTTGGTGAAGTTTCACTTTCCACCTGCAGCTGGTGCCCCTCAGGAACCCTGCTTTATGGGGCAAGGAGGACCCCCAGGGCACTGGCCCTTGGAAGTCACTCAGCACCCCGAGGCGGGTTTCTGTCCCTCTGTCACCCACGCACCCTGGCACTGCATGGGAAATGAAAACCTCATGCCATCTCCTCACAAAGAAATGGACTTGTACAAAATGCTCTGGGAGCTGGAGAAACAGAGAGGAAGATCTTCAGTCCGTTGATTCACTCCCCAAGTGGCCACAGTGGTCCGAGCTGTGCTGATCCAGAGCCAGGAGCCAGGAGCCGTTTCTGGGTCTCCCATGCGGGTGCAGGATCCCAAGGCTTTGGGCCATCCTTGGCTGCTTTCCCAGGCCGCTTCTGTTGTCAAAATGAATGGTTACTGAGAGCACAGGATCCTTGTCTGGAGGCGTATCCCCAGAGAGTAGAGGGGTGGCTGTCACTGCTGTTGGTGTTGACATTTCCTGTTTGCCGCCCCTCCCCGGCCAGGTGACCGACTTGACCCTACGGCTGTCAACATCCTCCAGCAGATCATTGAGCTGGGCACCGAGACCCACGACGCCACCGCCGTCGCCTCTGTGGTCGCCATGGCTCCCGGGACAGTGACTGTGGTGAAGCAGGTGAGGCCCTTGCCCTGGTGGTGCCCACTTCCTGTCCACGCCCTATCATGATTTCACTTACCCAGGTAGACTCTGAGGGGCGACTGATGTCTGGTGGGTTTTCTTTTCCCACTTGGGACTTCTGTCGCTCTGTTTGTGTATGGGGTCTGCGGGTGAGCAGTGGGAAGCAGTTCACCGTGCCTCCGACCTTTCTGGAGAATGGAGCCCTTAGGGACAGTGAGACAAGCCACTGGCCTTTGGGTCCTGTGAGTTCACAGTGGAGCCCAACAGAGAAGGGTCAGTGTGGAGTAAGGTCACCATGCTTCTCCAGTGGTGACACTGTTTGGCTCACCGCCTCGTCTGTCTGCATGGGAGACCTCGCCATCTGCCAGGTGTGCTGTGTGGGGTAATGAGCTCATGTGGGTACTCCTTTCTACCTTATTTCTCTATCTGCTGTCTCCTGCTTCATTTCAGAAAAGATTTAGGCCAGTTAATGTAAATAATTCACAATGAGAAAGCACACACAGAAGCAAGAAAATATAGAACCTAGAGTTCTCAAGTTGCTGGGGAGACGTTGAAAAGCAAACCATAAAAACGTGCAGTCATGCATTCTTTTATTGGCTGACAGAGTCGGTGCTGAGTGCCTGCTGTGCCAGGCAGTGTTGTGGCTGCTGGGGTTCCAGGAAGGCGTGTCGCTGTCCTAGTGGTTACTCTCGGGTGGGCAGAGGAATGGAGACACAAGATCAAATGCAAATCTGCCAGGATGACTTACGGCATGGCGAGCAGTGAACAAAGGCAGTGGTGAGCAGTAGAAGGAGAGCTGGCAGGGAGGCTGGAAGGCAGTTTTGCACACAGCTGGTGAAGAAGATCTTGCTGGCATTTGAGCAAAGACCTACAAGAGGTATATACTACTGAGTTTACCCACACGTGGTATGATTTTTTAAAAAGTTTTTGTACTAGAGCCACATGTTGCATCCACTGGTCCATGCCCTAAATATTCTGAACGTTCAGGACTAGTCCGGATCAAAGCCAGGAGCCGAGAACTCAGTCCAGATCTGCTGTGTAGATGGCGAGTACCCAAGTACTTGAACCGTGATCTGGTGCCTCTCAGGTTGTGCCTGAACAGGAAATGGGGATCAGAAGCCAGAGCCAGGACTCAAAGCAGGCACTTCAACACGTGCTGAAAGTATTCCAAAAGGGCATCCTCTCCCCTGGACCAGACGCCCACCGAGATCCTGAGGCTTACAGCAGGAAACGTGCAATAGTTTACTAAAGGAAGAGGTCAGATGTTCTCCGCAGTAACAAGAAAGCATTCACTTCTTCGTGTGGCTCTCATAAAAGCCCCTGAGTGACAGGTCTGCCTTTGATGAGACGGGGTGGACTTCCCAAGGCTTCTCCTTGCCTGTCTCCTAAGTGTGTCCAGGTGCACACTGGAAAGCAGGAAATCCAGACTGAGTATTTCTCTGGGGAACTAGACATTCTAGAACAACCCTTAGCGTTGTGAGCCGCAGACTGAACCTAGCTTCTCTAGGCCAGAGTTTGCATGGTGTGTCCTAAAGCCTTCCTCCTCTGCAGGGAAGTTTCTTCCAAGAAGGGTTTGAGTGGAAGTCAGCAGGAAGCAACTGCATGTGTCCATTGGTGCTGGCCTCATGTCCACTGTGGGTGGCTTCAGACCCAGTGGCTCTGCAGCGTTCCTTCTAGGCTGCCTGCCGTCTTTGGGTTGTGTTTTGTGTCTTTTCTCAAACTCCTCACTTGAACTGGCACTTGGGGAAGGGGCCAGTTGGGCCAACCTTTGGAGGCCTATGGATGTTTTATATGTGCCCTTGGGAGTGTGTGAGAGGGTGCTGCTGGCGGAGACAGGGCGCCTCTTACTAAGAACCAGGTTGATTTGCTGCTCCTCAGGGACGTGATTTATTGAGCATCTCAGGCAGTGCAGTGATAGACACGGTCGGAAGGTGTAAGATACCACTTCGATATGCCTCACGCGTGTTAGACTGACAGCATGACAAGGCAGGAAGCAGATAAGCCTCTGCCACAACCAGTGCAGACAACTCGGCTGTGTTCACAGGAGGCAAGAACAGTGGCACTGTGGGAAAGTCATCTTTGCTGCTGTGAACTCGGGGCTGCACATAATCACAAGAGCCCGTGTTTGCAAGCACTGCCCTGGAAGGTGTCTGTCGTGGCTCACTGTGAGACCGGTGTCTCGCTCGCACACACTGCTGACACATGGGGAGGGGAGAATGAGGAGCGGGGCAGGGATAGCGAAGGGGTTGTGGGTAGTGTGGCTCTTACAGCGCGGGATGCCCTCTGGATTCACCCATCCTACATCTGAATAGCAGTGTGGCTGTTTTTATGAGAAAAAATGGTTTCAGGGTTTTTCTTTTTCCTTTTGATGACACCCTGGTTTAGAACTTTTCATCTGGGAAATTGTATCAGCGTAACAAGTGTGCTGGATTACTGAAGTGAGAGTCCTAATGCACTTGTTGGAAAGCAACCAAGTTGTCCCTTCTCCGTGTGTGAGGAGCACCCCAATAGTGGGCACTTGTTCATGTGGCAAGCCAAGCCATTGCAGTCAGTCATGTCCCGGTAAATGTCCACTCAGTGATCTGACGATGCCCTGGGCCTCACTGTGCGTTCTCCACTTGTGTCCTGTAAGTCAGCGCTCATGAGAAGAAGGCAAAGCCGTCGCATTGCAAAGTGCACAGTGCAGCTTGCAGAGCAGACATTCACAGTGTCAGGAGTGTAGCACTTGTGCAAATTGCGTAAGGCCAAAACGTGAGCTCTAGATCTTACGAGAGTCAGTTCTAGATGTTCAAAATGACCAAAATTTCTTCCCCATACAAATGGTACTCTGAATGTAATCGAAAAAAGTTTTTTTTTTTTTCCCATGATTTGTTAGTGTTAATTGGAAAAGGGTCCTAGGTAGTAAAATACACCATTGTCGAGTGAAGATGATTAATCCTGTCGTCATTTCAGGATTTGGAGTGAAAAATAGTGGCATTGCAGGGGGTCAGCTGACAGTGCTGGAAAGGGAAGAGTGGAGGAAAACTGTTGGGTTTCGTGGCTTGTTTTCTTTTTGTTTTTTAAATAGACATGGGAACATCTCGACCCAGTATCTTCTGTGTACATTCATTGCAGAGAATGTAGTGACTCCCTGTTGTGTCACCTTTTCTTAAGTGTCCGCATGAAAACTGGACTCACAGGGATCAGGCACCTGGCTCAGGAAGGGACCTCTGGAGTGCCCCTTGCCAGCCTGGCGGAGGGAAGCAGCAAAAACCTTGGGGGCAGTGGAATGCAGCTTGATTAAAGCCAAACTCTTGTGTGAAATAATGCCATGCTTGAAAAAGTCTTGGGCTCAATCGGCTCTAGGCTTTATGCAGAGGAGATTGATATTTGATGAATGAACGGGTCTGAGGAGGCCAACACAAGGTCTGCTGGCCCAGGTAGAGCTGCCATGAGTGTCTCCAAGGATGCTAGGGACCTGAGGACACCCCCACAGGTGCCACCACACGCTGGCTGCTGCCATCACACTTGGCTTCTCTTACAGCGGGGTAGCCTGGTGTAGAGATTTACCACCTTGGCTTGGCTTGGCAGGTACTGACTAAGCAGTCACCTGTGCTGCGAGTTCGCATGTGCTTGGTGACTGACACATGCGTGTCTGTTCCAGGGGGTGCAGGTTGGTGTGCGGTGGGCTTTCATGCCAAGCCAAGGTGTTGCCAGCTCCCTGCTCACTGGAAAGGGTTCAGTTCTCCCCTTCTCTTGGCCTCCTCTGACCACTGCAGCCCTCGCCTCGCTGCCCCTCCTCTCACTGTCAAGTCCAGGAGGGCAGGTTGAGTTGTTCTTGTGTTTGGGCGCTCTGTCCTCCACCTCCGTGCCCGAGTGGACATGTCTGACTGACTCTCCTGCCACCTCCACTGAGACCTTCCCCCAACCCTGACGAGTACACTGGCACCGTGCAGATAATCCAGGAGGCTGTATCCATCATGGCATCCAGAGGGTATGTGCCCTGCAAGTCTCTTTGCTGTGTGAGGTGACAGCTCCAGGGGTTCAGACATGGGCATCTTTGAGGGGGCCTGGGGTTCTGCCCACCAGCCAGGCTTAGGGAATTGAGGTGGCCACCATTCTGGAGAGTCTCCGGGGGGAAGGTGATCTTCACTGTCCTTGGGCACACACACTGCTGGTGCTGCTTCCGCCAGCCAGAGGCCGTTCCATGCACCCAGGGTATTTCAGTAACTGGATGAGATGTACGAGATATTCTGAAGGGAAGCCATGGACCTCTGTGCATGTAGTAAGTCAGTTCAGTATCACAGTTTGTGAAAGAGGCAGAGTGCAATGGAAAAGGAACAGGCAAAACGGGTCAGGGGGCCTAGTATCTGCAGACCCTCCCCAGGGGATTGTGCTCACACAGGGGCGAGTGCTGGGGAGAGCTGGACCAGAGCATGGTGCTTGTGGATCCACAGTCCCCAAGGCGAACCTGGGATGGCAGGTGGGAGCATGAGCTGGTGGCCGGTCCTGGCTAGGGTGCCAGAGGTTGGGGAGTGTGGAAAGGCCCCACTTACCCTATTGTAGCCATAGACTGGAGTCCTGAGTGCTCAGCCTGGTATCTCTCTTTATCCTTTCCCAAGTCCAAGCCGTCCATGGCTTTGTATCACTTCCAAAAGCGTTCTGTCCTTTTGTGGCGCTCCCTCCGTGACCTGCACTATCTACTTCAAATCGGTTACCAGATTCACGCATACAGTTACAGGATCTGTAGTGAGCTCTCCTGCCATTTGTGTCTGTCCCTGGCCTTCCAAACCGACAGGGTGACCTGTCCTTTCCTCCCTCCCCTGGGGCATGTATCATAAAAGGGCACCTGATAAGGACACGGTGTTTGCTTTCTAAAGCTAGGAGGACTTAACAGATTGCGTTGTCTTGAGTCCTTTTAAATTTTGTTTTGTTTTGTTTTGCTTTGGATAATTTTTTTTTCGTGTGTGACATGTGTGCATTTATTATTATTTTTTTAGTATTATTAATTACATTGC